AACATCATTATCTTCAGTCAACGCCTCAAACATCATTATCTTCAGTCAATGTCTAAAACATCATTATCTTCAGTCAATGCCTCAAACATCATTATCTTCAGTCAATACAGTGTATATAAAAGCTCACAATTCCTTCAAATAGAACTCGTCTGTAGAACTTTTTCATGTCTAGCCTGGGCTCATATGTACATTATAGTAAAAGTAAAAGCTGTGGGCCATGCCAACACACCGAGTTCGATGAGATGTCAGTAGTATTTAGTCCGCGTAAAATTATGTCTGTACGATTATTCTCCATAGGTACATGACCCCCAGTTTTCGTTGAGCTGCTCAATACTGGAAAACCTGTTGCTTACAAATGCCTTAAGTCGATGAGAGATTTGTAAGCAGCAGGGTAAGACATTTGAAAGCTTTGTAGAATTTAACGCACGCAAGGCCGATAGTGAAATCTAAATATACATAAAGACGGTCAAATCATAATTTCAGTGATGACAGAGTCCTAGTAACTAGCTGGGATAGAAGTAAGCACGCGAATAACTGAAGTTTGGAATTCTTACTTTCTCGGATTGGAGCAACCTGCGACTTGTTGCCTTGCTGCGCAAAATGTGGCTGGATGGTAGGATTTTCCTTCGAAACAGCTTAAGGACAAATCACAACTCCATACGCAGTCTTTGAGCGGTAAGCAAATCCGTCGGGAATTATTATTTTTTTTCTTTTTGAAAGTTGTTTCAGTAGTGTTAAGCCTAACGAGGTCGCCTCTTATTTACATTTGAAACTCTTAGTAGAACCGGCAGTTCAGTTTGCGCACCTACTTCAGCATCTTTTTGCTCAGTGGGGCTAAAACGAAACGTTCAGTTTGGCGCACCGAAAGATATGTCTTCTTGCACGCTGGCCGAAATGTTTGTTTTTGGGTGGAATTTTAATAATTAATTTTTGTTTTTGGTTACACTAATTTTAATTGTAATTTTTTTAAACTTTTTTTAACTGTATTTACTGTTTTATGTTTTCCTAAATTTTACAATTTTTAATGAAGACACTGAGTTTTTATATATTCTTGTCTTGCCGCGAAGTGAGAACTAAGTTGACGGAGTGAAAAATATATCTTTAATCAATTTCGAGGATATAAGTTTAAACGAAATGCAGCAGAAAATGTGCATAATTTAATAGGCTCTACAAGGAAGTCATGGGGAGTCCACTTCAGATATTTTATATACTGTTTCTTTTACTTCGTAAGGATTATGTTAATTTTATTAACAGTTAAATTTTAAGTTAAAGTTCCTTTCCTGTCAAATTCTTAACTTCAACTTACTACTTCCGGCCAGAACGTAGTTTTGGAATCTTGCTGAATATTAAATGAGGAGGAGCGGTATTTAAACCACGAAGTTACTTACTGAGGCAGAGAGAATCAGAGTTTCTGATTACGCGCGTCTGCCTTTTTGGCCACTCTCTCTCTCAAAGCTGTTATTACGCACGGCCGTACTCAGGTCCTTGATAAGCTTCGTAGTCAAATAAGTTAAGGGGTCAGCTCAATTTGAACCTTGATAGCTTCGGCTATACTTCTTTAGTTAATCTTAGTTTTAGTTTAATTCTTAGTCTTTTAAGTTCAAGTCCAAGTGCATGCGTGCTTTGCTTGTACACTCCCAGGCGGAGTTTTGTTAAATCTTATTGGACTAATCAAGGGTTAGTTACCCTTCTATCTTGTTGTTTCTTGTCATCGAACTCAAGCGATTATTCGCTTATCAGTTCTTAGATTCTTCACTTCCAACATTAACTTAGAATTCCAAAGTGAGGAACACTACAACTTGTATCTTCTTAAATCACTTTCATTTTTTAAATGTTCATGTTATAAATCAAACAAAGATATATTTGCCCCAGTGTGATATCACTTTAAGAACTTCCGTTGCTGTCGTTTCTCTTTCCGGCGTAGAGGCGTAACCGGAAATGCCGGAAAAGATAAATTTGATCAGGGTACTATAAAAGCAACGTATCGAAGTATGCTGCATTATTAGATCTGCGTAAGAAAACAATTTGTTCAGTCTTGTACAGAAAGGAAAAGAAATTTAACAGATTCATATTTTCTAAAAGCCGGATACTACTTTCTCCTTTTTCAAAATTTAGTATCTTGAGCATTATGCGACAAATATATATTGCGTAATCTTCCTCTCATATATCTTGACTCTGAAGTAAAAGCTACTGCTAAATTAAAAAAAAAAAAAAAAAAAAGAGAAATCCGAAAGGTTTCATATTTTAACGGTCGTCCGAAAAGGTTCGTTAACGTTGCGAACATACATAAACATACATACATCCTTATTTTATCCTTATTTTTTATTCTCCTTATTTTTATTTATCCTTATTTTTATTATTAAATCCTTATTTTTATACATCCTTATTTTTATTATTTATGCACAGCAATTAAGAAAGTGGCAGAAAGCAAACCTCGTATAAATTTTCGTGTAAAATTATAATTAAAAAAACATATAGTTTTACGTGTAAAAATTATAATTAGTGTGAAGAGAAATAAAATATTTTGAATACAAATTTAATTAAAACCATCTGACTAATAATATGCCAAATTAAATTTAAAATATTTAATAAATTATAAGTTACCATATATTCCTGTATATAACGTGCTTTTTTAATATAAAAAATAAGACCGAAATTTACGGGTGCATGATATAAAAATGATAAAAAAAGGAAAAGATGAGCATGCAAAAATTAGATTTGTAGGTACACCTAAATGCTATTTCTGGCGATTTCCTAAGAACAGCAAGTTTGTGACACTTTCTTCTAGGATAGGCTATTTTGTTACTCCTTTACTCAAAGCAAATTTATTCTTTGCCATATTAATTATCGCGATTTAATTTTTCTTCCATTCATGTAAGAAGCTTTCATCAACATCAGACATACTTGCCGCAGCACGAATTCCAATTTCTTTCGCTTTATATTGAATGGCCTTACATTTGGAACCAGCACTGGGTATTTTTTTCGTTTGGAAGAGCCAAAGTTCTTATCCTTATACCTATCCTATTACTATCCTATCCTAATTCCGCGAATTCATTCGGGTTCGGAAGTATATTCGCATTCTAAATTATGTCCACCTTTTCTCGATACTTCTTACACCCTAGAAAAACATTCTTGTGCACACCTACATTGAATACAATCCACTCTCTTTGCAGAATTATTTACTCCCTCAAGCATTTCTCCCACACACTTATTCTTCCCCTTATAGGTCGTCATTTTTTAGTATACCATTGTTCGGAAACTTGGGAAGACTCATCGAATGAATCACTTCAAAAATTAAGAGCATTTCACATGTTATCTTTCAGGGTTATTTTTGTAAAGAAAAGGGTGCGCGTTGTGCGGCGAATATACCTAAAAAGTTTTTAAAATTTACTTTGAAATTTTGGGTGCGCGTGCTGGAATATACGATATGTAAAAAAAGTAAGTTCCGTTTCAATTTATCTCCGCTGCAGCTCTGCGATCGCAATTCCGCACATGCGCAGTAGACGCTCTGTATCAAGGAGAAGAAACGCGCTCCATTTGGAGATCGCTGTCAGTCCCGTACGCTTTGTTGTGCTTGTTTACAATGTCGGTGTTGATTGAAAATCCCGCCGCTTGTGAAATCAGATCTGTGATTCGTTTTCTGAATGCGAGGAAAGTGAAACCTAGTGAAATTTATCGGCAAATTTGCGATGTTTACGGACAAAAGCGATGAGTGATTCAATGGTGAGAAGATGGGTCCGAAAGTTCAATGACGGACGTAGTGATGGCACGATGAAGAACGAAGTGGGCGTCCATCTTTGGTTACAGAAGAACTGGTTCAGGCGATTGATGACAAGATCCATGAAAACCGAAGGTTTACAATTAGTGCTCTCGCTATGGAATTTCCCCAAATTTCACGATCACTAATGCATGAAATTGTTACCGAAAAACTGAAATTTCGTAAACTTTGCTCACGTTGGGTACCAAAGATTCTTACTGAGCAACACAAAACAAAATGAATGGGTAGTGCACTTCAGTTTTTGACCCGTTATGCTGAAAGCGGCGAAGAATTTCTGACATAGATAGTCACAGGAGATGAAACTTGGGCTTCTTACGACACCCCTGAAAGTAAGCGGCAATCAAATGGAATGGAGGCACACTTCATACCCAGCAAAGGTTAAGCCGAAGCAAATCTTGACACCTCGAAAAATGATGTGCACAGTGTTTCTGGGACTGGAAGGGCATCTTACTCATTGATTTTCTTACCGCGTGATCAACAATCAGAGCAGATGCTTATTGCGAGACACTTCGGAATTGGCGCCGCGCAATACAGAATAAGCGTCGAGGATTGCTGTCAAAAGGTGTTGTTTTTCTTCACGACAACGCACGACCACACACTGCAAATGTGACGAAAAACCTCCTACAGGGATTTGACTGGGACGTGTTTGACCATCCTCCGTACAGCCCTGACCTCGTTCTTACATCTTAAGTCTTTCCTTGGCGGTCAACATTTCAACAATGACGACGAGCTGAAAGAAACTGTTTCCAACTGGTTGAAGGCATAGGCGCAAATTTCTATGAAGAAGGTATACAAAAACTTGTGCCACGCTATGACAAATGCCTGCAATATTTCGGCAGTTATGTGGAAAAGTAGTTTAAGAGTTGTTGAATTTTGTGCAATAAATAACTTTTCTGTAGCTGTACACAATTTATTTTTATTACCAAACGGAACTTACTTTCTGGACGTACATTGTATTTTCCCTTGCTTCCTGCATGTCTTCATGGTGTAAACGTTTAGCACTTCCTGCTGTCATCAGAAGGTTGGGTGTTCGAATCCCGGCGAGGAAAATTCACATTTTTCATACTCCTGCATTGACACAATCTAACGAATCCTACACATTCATTAATATAGCATTTTATATAAAATTTTAATTAGCAGGAGGAGAAATAAATAAGTTAACTACAAATTCTACAATATAGAAAATATAAATAATATATACATATGTGTGTACATTCAACAGGTGCAGAAATTCCGGAATGTGTAAAGAATGGAGCTCTTTCATTCAAGGCATTTTACTTCATCCCAGCGGGTCGAAGCAGACTGATTTCTTAGAAATCCTGGTAAGCATCTCATTCTCCTAATTTTAAAAATTTCGTTAATGACATAATTTTTTTAAAAATCCGAACGCTTTCAAATTTTTTATTACACCCAAAAGGGCGTTTTTTTTCATTTATATACATACACATTTCGAGAGCATTTGGGTTAAAAATATTTAAAGAGAGCATATCTTTAGAATTACCAATAAACTGTCTCGCGTGCTGGAGATAATCTTCTATTCCGTTCTGTTCTTCTATAAAATCTTTTATTCCGTAAAGGTTGCCATTGATAGCTTTAAAAAATTGAATTCGTTAATCAAAAAAAATTTGTTAAAGTTTTACAAACAAAAAATAGATTAAAAAAAAAAAAAAAAAAAAAAAAAAAAAAAAAAAAAAAAAAAAAATTCGAAATTCAAAAGTCGGGCTTCTAGGTGTCCATGTTTGGATGGAGGACTACGTTATTCAAAAGTGAATGGCTCTGGGTACCGTTGTTTTTTCTCAATGCGAGAAACATACACACCTTCATGTAGATTGTTGATTTTTTCATTTCTTTAAATATAATACAGGGCGCCCATCAGCGGCCGAGCGGTAAAATCGCTGAACACTGGTAGTTCGGTCCGAGGTTCGAATCCCGCGAACGGGCTGGCTGCATGGGCGTTTTCGTGGTTTTTCCCATGTGTAACGTGTATACGAGCCAGTTTTGCTTAGAAAGTCCTCCACGAAGGCATCTCTCTTCTTAGGCAGATAGCCCTCGAGGCTTTGCCATAATCACACACACACCCTTAGAAAGTCCTCCACGAAGGCATCCCTTCCCTTAGGCAGATAGCCCTAGTGTGCTTTGCCGTATTCTCAATACACCACCACACCATATAATACAGGGCGATAATATTTGGCGACAACAATTTGAAAAGTTATTCAACATTTTTAGTGATTTGACGCAAAACGCTGTTTCGAGACTAATAGTCTTTCTCGGCTAACGCCACTTTGGGATAAAAAGAGATAAACTTGCAAAAATGTTTGCAGTGATCTCTGTCAATTATATATTAATTGTACAAATAAAGGCCATGAAATCTTGCTTTTTATTTCGAGAGCCAGTAAAGGTATATAAGAATTTAAGCTTGATCATGGTACGAATGCGTTATGAAATACCTGAAGAAGGTTTTATTATTTTCAGTGAGCTGATTTCGTGTTCTGGCAGAATGAAAAATAGCGCCTGTTTGAAAGAATATTTGTCATGAGCCTCGAGTATAAGCGATCCATTGAAATAAAGCGAGAAAGACGTCTGAACTGAGCTTCATTAATAAATGCACGCATCTCCATATGGCGTTAATTTACGATGATAGTATAATATCATAATATGCTTCTCCCCTACATTTGGCTTTGCCATTTTTAACAGGTCATTTTAAATGCATGATTTTACGTTTAAAAGCGAGTTGTTAAAAACACGTTTCATAAAGTAAATTTCTGAGGAATTAATTCTCAAACTTCTAGGCCTGTAGTGCTTGCTTAACTTAAAATTGTTTCAGGTATTAAATTGAAACTGCATACCAAGATCAAATAGTAACTTCGTTTTAATTTTGTAATTTTTATATTTTCAATTCATATTTTTTGAAGTTAAACTCTTCGAGATAATATATAAATATGAGGTTATATAATAAACTTAATTTGAAGTTTTCAGATATAAGTGTTTTTGTTTTTCGGTTTATTTCTTTTCTCCAGGCCACGACCTGTACATCCTGTTGTAAACCAGTTTATATCCCTGCAACTTCTCAAAGCAAGCATATTCGGAGTTTAGACATTCAGTGCAACGAAAACAGAAGTTTACCTCATCATTCTAACTGTGATATCCATCCCGATGACACCTGGTGCTGCTCTATTTATTGCTCGGGACAGACAGACCAGGAATCATGTTCCTATTTCAGTTCAAATGTTTCCTCTACTGATAAACACTCTTCGAGTGACAAAAAAGTGAGTCTTTTTACAAATTATCATGCAACTGAAAAGCCTAAGTATTCAAAGAATTTTACTGCTGTTCTCTTTGTTTAAGGGGGCTTATACACCTTTAATCCCTTTATGATCTTCGAATGTGTGACTGTTGCAAGAATTGGGATAATTTATTTTTTTTTAACAAGCAATTACTTTCATTTTTTCAAAGCTGACTACATTATATAGCTGCTTTCTGAAATAGTAATCAGAAAGTTTGTGTTGCCACAAATGTTTTTGTAATATAATCCGCTTTGTAACAAAATATTTCGTCATGTTTCCACTTTGCGCGCATGATATTTTAAAAATGGCTAATGGTACATACTTGAAATTCGATGGAATTCTTTATATGGGTACTATTTTCTAACTGAACCAAAAGTCTGATGAATATTTTAATATAAAACAAATATCTTTGATATACTATTATTCACAAAATATTCTTGTGGTGGTGGTGGGAGAGAAAGGCGTACGGAAAAGTCAGTCAAAGAAAAGAAAGCTGTTCTTTAAATGAAGTAAAAATAAACTAACTACTTCAAGCTTAGGAGAAAATAAAAAACATTTTAGTCCAGCAAAAAATTTAATTTCGGTGCATGTTTGTGTAAAAATGTCTTTCTCTCTTTTTCACTTATTTATAACATTTTCCGTGCTTTTTTTTTTCAGACATTCACAAGTAAAAACGATGTTCATTCGACGGAAACACCAAATGAAAGACACAAAAGAGATAGGTAAGTTAATTTTTCCGTCTGTTACCATTTGTAGCTTAATGACCTAGTTTGACTAACAGTTATTAGTGGTAGTTAACAAATAGTTTCCTTGAAAAAATAAGAATGGAATTTATGTTAAATTATAAATCTGCAGACATTTATAGCTTTTTCTCATTGGGTGACGTAATTACATTAAATGACTTTCGCATCAGCATTTAGAAAATAGTTATTAATATCACTGCGTTTTTATACTTTTTTATGAGTTTACAATATAACTTTTATGTTTTATGAATATGGAATGAGGTAATAGTAAACATGGTTTTAGAATTGTTTGGCTTTAAAAAATCTCTAAGTATGGATTGCATTCATAAACTCGTTTAGTTCCTCAAGTGCCATATTTATGAAGTCCATATATAATGCTTAAATTTTTATAAGGCAGAAGAAGATAATACTTTACAGAATTGCGTTAGAAAAAAATCAGGTTTGGCTTACATGCACGAACGCGTGTTGCGTTAATGCTTTATTATTATTTCAAATTAAGAAATTTAAAAGTCTAGTTGTGAGCAAGATGAAGTAACTCTTCTTATAATGTGTTCATTACATAAATATTACTATAACTTTGCGAAGATATCAATTTTAATCATTATTTCGGTAGAAATAGGAATAAGAAAGACACTGTTATCCTTCTTAAGCCTAGTCGAAAGATTTAAGATATTTATCGATTTGCTGAGTTGACTATTAAAGTGATAAACTTGCGGGCCTAATAAATGAAAAATTGCCGAACTTGGTTATAACGAGCAGTCGAAATATAAGTACAGTTGAACTTGGTTACAACGAGGGGGCGAATTATAAGTTGAATTTGGTTATAACGAGCGTGAACCGACAGCGATATTTGCTGGATGTAACCGAGTGTTTGTAAAAAAAGGGTTCGTGAAAAAAATCATAAAAATGATTCATACTTACTACATTATAAATAATAGAATTACTTTTTATTTCTGTTAAGTACAGACAAAGTTTGTTAATTTGCTTTGAACTGCCTTATTGTTTCTTTGCGTAATTAATTGTTCTTCGGAGAAGACTCATGGTCCGAAAATCATCGTTATTTGAACCCGTGAGCTTTGGAAATTCAACAGACAAAGCGTGTCCATACTGATCAAATTACAAATCATCGCTCGTTTATCAACTTCAAATTTATTAAAAATCTTTGCTCATCTTGAAAAACGCTCGCAGTCGGAGGTTTGACTTTGTATTCTCATCTGCCAAGTGAAATTGTTATATCTACATATTTAGGTTCCCACGCAAGCGCGAGAGAAGGTTGGGAGATTTTCAGCCATTTTTTTGAGATTATGTTAGTATACAGAAGTTGTCATTGTCGTAGTTCTCCTTGTCTAGAAGCTTCTCGCTCTGTAACCACCCCTTAAGGGTACTTCCATCATTGTATTTCATCAAACATTTCTTAAGAATTAAAAGGAAAATAACACGCCGAATAACAATTATAAGAGTTCAGACAACAGGAATCAACAGTTAATATTTAGGGATGTGCAGAAAAAAGACTAAATTTACAGATTTACAGACTGCAAATCTGTAAAATTACCGTTGATTTCGGTTGTTTGAACTATGTCATAATTCCTTAGAGACAATCAAAACGTCATTTACAGTAAATTTAACGACCGTAAACAATAACAGATAATAAGATGAATTTACTTTAAATTAATTTAATTATTACTTCGGTATTGCTGATATGATTACTGTCTTCGAAATAAACTAAACTCAGTGGTGTAACAGCCGTAGTAGGCCACGGCCAGCAGTTCCCCGAAATCTGCTTTCTTGACCTTGGCCCCCAGGGTGCATCAGCATATGCGTTGGGCAAACGGCCGGCTTGTCGCAGGACCCCATATATCCCAAGTGAACTTGGTACTCAATTTATCGACCCACTCAAGGGATAAAAGGCTGAGTCAACATTGGATCGAACCCCGGACCTGTGGTGTAGCTGCGCGACGCGCTAGCCACTGTCTCCGGAATCAGCAAATTCCGGAGCAAATCAGCAAATTCCATCAGCAAATCAGCATGTCTCCGTAATAGGAGCAGCAGTGTAAAGCTCTTCTGAACTACTGGGATAACCATGTTAATAAAAAATCATTTATAACTGCGTGTCTGAAAAAGAGCATAAAGCAAATGGCGTTTTTATGTTGGTTTTAGTCATGAAATATCTTGTGCCATTTATTAGTTGTATTGAAATTTTTTAATAGATGATTATGTTATATGCAATATATGTTTAACCATAATACAGTAAGACCCCGCTTAACGCTGTTTCGTTTAGCGCTGTTTCGGTTTAACGCTCTTTTATTTCAACCCGGGGATTCTCCGAAATTGTGCGCAGCGCTAGGTTTCCAAATAACATATCCGAACAGTGTAGTTGTGTTTCTTGCTTTGGTGCAGTACAGACGCATTTTTTATCATTTGAAACATTTTTTGACATTATTGTAAGTTTAAATTGGTATAATACTATAACGATTAATACAGTGACAAATATTATGATCTTTAGTTTTTATCATGGGGGATAATAAAAAACAAGAAAAGAAAGCAACCAGAAAAAGCATTTCACTGGAAACTCAAATGCAAGTGATTAGAAGATTAGATTCTGGTGAACGTCAATCTCAAATTAGTGCTGCATTGATTATGGCAACTTCAACAATAAGGACAATTCTTAAGAATAAAGAAAAAATACTGTCATCGGCAACTGCAACTACGTCGAGCTCTGCAACTAGAATTACCCGTTCTAGAAATAACATTATAGAGGAAATGGGAAAACGACTGTCTATATGGATTGACGACGAAATTGAACGCAATATGCCATTAAGCCAATCTATCATAATGCCTTCTTGACAAAAAGGCAGAAAATTGGAAACCCAGAATAGACTGAATGATCTGACTGAGAATTTTATTTGTTTTTAAAAGTATATGCGTTTATATTGTTTTTATTTTTGTAAGAAATAAATGTTTGATTTTATTTTTATTAAAAAAACATTATTAAATTTAATGCCTAACCAGTTTTTATCCGTCTTCTCCTAACCCCATTATTTACATGTTAAGATAGCCTCGCTTAGCGCTGTTTCGCATTACGCTCTACTTCGATGGAACGTATCCCCCGCGTTAAACGGGGTCTTACTGTACATGTTCTGTTTCCTGTTATCGCGAGGGCACGTCAATCTGACTTTTCCTGTTTTAAGTCGCAAACGGATTCTCCGCTTTAAGTGCACCTAAGGTCGTATTTATTAATGTAGTTATTTTATGATTACTGTTTACATTAGAGATGAATATTCGAAATAATATAACTCAGGATTTACTTAATTCTTTTTTTATGGAGGACTTGCACTGCTGCCCATACAAATGCACAAAAGCCCTTTTGCTGAAACTAATACTAAATTAATACTGTAATCATATTATTCTTAAATTAATACTATTCTTAATAATTAATGAATGCTAAATTAATACTGTAATTATATTATTCTTAAATTAATACTATTCTTAATAATTAATTAATACTAAATTAATACTGTAATTATATTATTCTTAAATTAATACTATTCTTAAATTTTACATTATGACGGATCTTTCATTTGTGTAGTTACTATAGAAAAATTATCCATTAAACTTAAGAATAAAGAAAAAATACTGTCATCGGCAACTGCATGCAACTACGTCGAGCTCTGCAACTAGAATTACCCGTTCTAGAAATAACATTATAGAGGAAATGGGAAAACGACTGTCTATATGGATTGACGACGAAATTGAACGCAATATGCCATTAAGCCAATCTATCATAATGCCTTCTTGACAAAAAGGCAGAAAATTGGAAACCCAGAATAGACTGAATGATCTGACTGAGAATTTTATTTGTTTTTAAAAGTATATGCGTTTATATTGTTTTTATTTTTGTAAGAAATAAATGTTTGATTTTATTTTTATTAAAAAAAACATTATTAAATTTAATGCCTAACCAGTTTTTATCCGTCTTCTCCTAACCCCATTATTTACATGTTAAGATAGCCTCGCTTAGCGCTGTTTCGCATTACGCTCTACTTCGATGGAACGTATCCCCCGCGTTAAACGGGGTCTTACTGTACATGTTCTGTTTCCTGTTATCGCGAGGGCACGTCAATCTGACTTTTCCTGTTTTAAGTCGCAACGGATTCTCCGCTTTAAGTGCACCTAAGGTCGTATTTATTAATGTAGTTATTTTATGATTACTGTTTACATTAGAGATGAATATTCGAAATAATATAACTCAGGATTTACTTAATTCTTTTTTTATGGAGGACTTGCACTGCTGCCCATACAAATGCACAAAAGCCCTTTTGCTGAAACTAATACTAAATTAATACTGTAATCATATTATTCTTAAATTAATACTATTCTTAATAATTAATGAATGCTAAATTAATACTGTAATTATATTATTCTTAAATTAATACTATTCTTAATAATTAATTAATACTAAATTAATACTGTAATTATATTATTCTTAAATTAATACTATTCTTAAATTTTACATTATGACGGATCTTTCATTTGTGTAGTTACTATAGAAAAATTATCCATTAAACTTAAGAATAAAGAAAAAATACTGTCATCGGCAACTGCAACTACGTCGAGCTCTGCAACTAGAATTACCCGTTCTAGAAATAACATTATAGAGGAAATGGGAAAACGACTGTCTATATGGATTGACGACGAAATTGAACGCAATATGCCATTAAGCCAATCTATCATAATGCCTTCTTGACAAAAAGGCAGAAAATTGGAAACCCAGAATAGACTGAATGATCTGACTGAGAATTTTATTTGTTTTTAAAAGTATATGCGTTTATATTGTTTTTATTTTTGTAAGAAATAAATGTTTGATTTTATTTTTATTAAAAAAAACATTATTAAATTTAATGCCTAACCAGTTTTTATCCGTCTTCTCCTAACCCCATTATTTACATGTTAAGATAGCCTCGCTTAGCGCTGTTTCGCATTACGCTCTACTTCGATGGAACGTATCCCCCGCGTTAAACGGGGTCTTACTGTACATGTTCTGTTTCCTGTTATCGCGAGGGCACGTCAATCTGACTTTTCCTGTTTTAAGTCGCAACGGATTCTCCGCTTTAAGTGCACCTAAGGTCGTATTTATTAATGTAGTTATTTTATGATTACTGTTTACATTAGAGATGAATATTCGAAATAATATAACTCAGGATTTACTTAATTCTTTTTTTATGGAGGACTTGCACTGCTGCCCATACAAATGCACAAAAGCCCTTTTGCTGAAACTAATACTAAATTAATACTGTAATCATATTATTCTTAAATTAATACTATTCTTAATAATTAATGAATGCTAAATTAATACTGTAATTATATTATTCTTAAATTAATACTATTCTTAATAATTAATTAATACTAAATTAATACTGTAATTATATTATTCTTAAATTAATACTATTCTTAAATTTTACATTATGACGGATCTTTCATTTGTGTAGTTACTATAGAAAAATTATCCATTAAACTTTTTATTATCTTTCCAAAACAATTCTTTTCTTTACTTAGAATATTTTGTATAAGTAAAAAGCTTTTTATAATGTCTTTTTAAACTAGCAAATACTAAAGCACACTTTTCTTCGTTTCTTAAAATATTTCTTAATTTTTTCCAGCGGTTTTCAGGAATCATATCACTTTGAAGTTCTCGAAACGTTCAATGAAATCGTTGTTCTTCAGTTATTTAATATTACAGTTCGACTTGTCGACAAAAGGGTGAGTTTCTCTTTTAAGCTTTACTTCAATATTCATGCAATAATGAACGAATAATTCCTAGTATGTGCCTACATACAAAGCACTTTTTCTTAAATACATAAAATTTTAATTAAACATACATGTTTTTGAGTAACATGGGATACAAAATTATGAATTTAAATGGGATTTTATAAAACATTTCATTAATTTTTTAAATATAGGCAATATTTAGTAAAATTTTAGTAAAAAGTTTCATTTACGCCAGATCTCCTATAATAGATTCTAATGAATATACTTCAATAATCTTTACACAGTATATAAATAACATACTTACCTATGTTCTGTAGCAAAAGATTTGCTGTACTTATAAAATTTTTTGAAATATTCAAAACTTAGTACAAAAACTCAAAATTAAAACAAAAAAAATCCTCTTTTCTTCAAAATACTGTCAATAAAATCAATAAATATATACAGAGAGATCAGATTTTGCTACAGAACACAGCTAAAGATGAATAAAACATTTTGTTGGTAAAATTTCATTTCAACATTCTAAATATATTTTGAGAAATTAACGTAATCGCAATCAAAAGTAACGAAAAACACAATTTCTCAGAAAATGCATTTAAAAATTTTAATACAGCACAAAAATTTTTTTAGCCACTTTAGACCTTTAAAACTCGCCCTATTTGTATGTTAAGCCCTCTTTTACTTCATTCTTAACTAATTTTGACTTTCTTTTATCATTTTTCTGGATAGCTTTGTTGATTGTAGAGATTGGCGTTTCGATTTCTGAATTCGCTGTTTGTCTATTCCAATGTAGCTTTCAAGCATAATGGGATTAATTTCTATTTCTATATATCTGAAAATAGGTAAAAGTCCTAAATATCTTGAATTAAATAATAATACAGCAATATGTGCACCTAAAAGCGATGTTTTCAGTTGGACAAAAGTTTCTTTAGGTAAAAAGTCCTCAACTCATTATTGTTTTGAGGCTTCCCATGTAGGCATTTTATCAGCAAAGTGTCACAGAGGGAAAGATGTGTTACTTTTACAGCTTTTATGTTGTTTAATAATTAGAAAATAGTTGTTTAAACTTATTGTTTACATTTTTACGACCATTTAAATGCCTACTTCCGGCATCCAAAAATTCACTTCCTGTTTATTTTTTATACTATAACTTTTCTTCTAGTTATCGTAAAAACAAAAATAAAGCATTTTTGGAAACCAAAATGCATGGCCTATAAATGATTAAATAAAAAAAAATTTCGAAAATTTTCATCAAAACGACGAATTTAGGGTAGGCAGATACCTTAAGTTTTGAACTTATCTGTTTCGTAAGCAACCTTAGCAACAACAGATACATGTACAACAGATACATGTAGACGGTAGTACAACAGCATACTGGTAGAATACAAGTTCAGCGAGAGAGTAAAAAACCTTAACAAATCCTTGCAGACAATCGTTAAAATGTGAACACTTTCAGATATTTTTCTATATTTTTCTCATTTTTTAAAGTACCTAAGATTTGCAAGAATCTTGCACATGCTCTTAAAAAACTATTTCATAACAGCAATTGAGACTAAACGTAGAAAAAGGGCAAGTTTAAAACTAACCTTTGAAGAACTGACAAATATTAAAATATAAGTTTTCGTTTTAAGCATTGTTAAGAATTTCAAATAAGCAATTTTAAATTTACTTTTCATTTTCCATAGCTTAATATATATATGACAAAAATATGCGTGCATACAAAATATGTCAGGAAGTAAAGAAGTTCAGTATTTTTAAGTTAGTTTCAGCTTAAATAAAAAAAAAACAAGGGCTTGAGTAAACTTTCCGTATTATTCTAATTTGATCATCGGCAACATCGTAAGATTCTCATGCAGACAACTAAAATCTATACTGACAGAATTTAATCACATTTACTTTTGAAAGCTATTTTGGCGAATTTAATTAAAAAACGTTTTCGCCATTGCATCTTAAAAATGTAATTAAAATACTGTGTGTAGTGTTAAGCGAGAAATAATATTACACGGTCGCTAATGGCAGTACCTGAAAATTAACTGATAATTTTCTGCGCTTCTCGCTTTCGTGCGTCATATTCTTTGACAAATTTAATATTCTTTCGTCACAGTTTTGTCATGCGTGTGTCAAGTCATTGTATCTTAAATCACATTTTGCAAGAGCAGAGTTACTCTATTTCTGAGCGTCATAAGCAGCTTTTGTTTCAGTTTCAAATTAAATTGTTAAATTAGAATTTTTCAGTCTTAATGGCAAATTAATACAGAAGGTTACAAATATGAGTGTCCAGTCCACATTTATTTTAAAGTATTGTGACATATAAATAGATTAAAAATTTTCTGTAAAACATTTTACTTTCCTTTGCTTGTCGAAATAAATTTTATTACGTTAAATCTATAGAAATTATAGCCGAGGTTACATCAAATGTAAATTTGTTTGATGAATAACGTTCTAAAATGCTAATTTATAATGATTTTCGATATACTTTACTATTTTACAATGCATAAAAGTAAGATCTCGAGTAGAAATCCTAAGGTCCCAATCACATTATGTTTCGGCTACACGGGACTTGACGCTGAAAGGGACAATTCTCAGAACCAGCACAATTCCAGGAAACCCATATAGCTAGGTTACCCTTCTCACTTACTACAAAGACTTGAACGCCAAACAGTAATCGATTATCGCTCAAATCGGGATCACGTGATCCTTCAGAAGCAGAACTTTCGTCTGATTGGTTGTCTCTACCCGGGACCCCAGACATTTTCGGTGAGGTTTGAAAATATCCCGCGTAGCCTCAACATTGTTTCCGTAGCTAGGCGGGACTTCGCTTCAGGCGGGGCTCTTTTTTCTAGGAATCCCTCCGTTTAAATCAGTGCTACCAGAATCTCGTTTCTCAGAAAAGTCCCGTCTAGCAGAGACTGTAGCCATGTGTGATAACCTCTTAACACATCACTATTTTTAAAAATACTTTTAATTACTCAAAAACATTACAATATCAAGTATGTCAGGGTGTAACAGAATTGATGGTTATAATTTCGAAGGCGATAGAATATGGCAAAAGTAGCAACATTTTCGCTATACAGTACGTGGTCTAATATAAAATGAGAATGAAACACAGTAAGCATGGAGAAGTAAACATTTTGTTCATGCAGTATTTACAAGACATAATGTATGATTTACAAGAATTGCTTAAATGAATGACGACCAACTTCATTATATGCTTCACAAAGACGACTGAGTGACTGATGTGCGCTTTGAAAAATGTCCGTCGGCGCTACGTTTGGCGAAATGGAGGGCAAATCTACGTTACGTTAAAAATATCCGCTGTCGCTGTAATCCTTTATTGCAGTTGAAAATTATATACATTTCAAGACATCAAATATCAAACTTTATTTCTCGTAACTTCTCTGACGCTGGGTAGTCTTGTACAACAAACTCCAAACGGGATTCAAACACCTTTCCGTTTTTCATGTCCTTGGTACTTACAACGTATTTTTCATTACATTTCATTACATTTTTATTTCATTACATTTTATTTTTTATTACATTACTTTCATTACATTTATTCACATTTTACATTTCGTCATGCATTATGTCACGAAAATTATTACTTGCTATGTTATGTAACCTATTAAAGTTATGACCATCCATTCTTCCTCCATTCATCCATTCATGGCCCACCAGCGGCCGAGCGGTAAAATCGCTGAACACTGGTAGTTCGGTCCGAGGTTCGAATCACGCGAACGGGCTGGCTGCATGGGCGTTTTCGTGGTTTTCCCCATGTGTATCGTGTATGCGAGCCAGTTTCCCTTAGAAAGTCCTCCACGAAAGGCATTCCTCCCCTTAGGCAGATAGCCCTAGTGTGCTTTGCCGTATTCTCAATACACACACACACACATCCATTCATGACCATCCTGTATAACTTCTGGTCACCTTATAAGGATTTAAGTTTTACTAACTGTTTTGTATTAGCTGCTCCGGCTCGACGGACCCCAAAACTTGTATTGACTTATTCTATTTCCTGTCGATAGCTGTATATCATAATAAAATAACTCCACACACATTACACAGTTTCAATACATTTATTTTCCATAGCGACACTCTGGCGCTAGGTTTCACCTTACAGTGTAACATATAAATCGCAACTTCGAATGTACCACACAAATCAAGTTTCTCACAGAATACATTTCAGTGCCAATTCCGACGGCGCATGCGCCATTAGCCAAGATTCCGCTCTGGCGCCAAGCATTTCTCAGCTAATACAAAAAACTAACGTTTATTTTATTTCAAAACTTTACTGTCCACTCTTATTTTCCACTTCTGGCCAGAATAAACGCGGTTAGTTTTAGTATGCAAATTGAGCTTGCAAACTGCTAAGTATTTAAGTTGTGGCTTTTAGCTAAGAAGAGTTATGTTTATACTTCCAATGCATCTGATCTTGATTGAAGTTCTTCTATAGTATGAATATTGTTCTTGGAAATTCTTGTAACTGTTGATGTGAGTTTTTTGCACAGTCGTGATGAAATTGTTGTGTTGTAACTGTGTAGCCTATGTTGTTGCAGTATTGCTTTAGCGAATAGTGTTGTATCATTGTGCTGTATTTAATTGTTTTGATTGAGGTTGTTTTAGGAACTTGAAACTGTCATTGAAACAATTGCTATAGAGTATCTTTCTCATATTGTTGTTATTGATATTGCATTGTCTTGGATCCTTCTTGAAAGCTCTGATCGCTCGTCAACGTTTTGCGAACTTGTCCGATTGGATTGTCTTGCTCCTTTTGGTACTTCTCTTTTCCCCCTTTTCTCCCGTTTTCTCCTCTGAGATTTTTTTTCACGTCCGGATTTCTTTATGTCATGCGCCCTTGGGCTTTAATTCTGGAACCGGCAACGTTGCTCTTAGCAATAATTCGGTCAATTATAGAGTCTAAGTCAAGAAGAGTTATGAAAGACTTCTTGCCACCTTACTTTCACGCGCGCTTTTCAGTCAGTTGCTGTCCGCCTTTA